GAGGTTGGGATCAGGGAGGGTGGAGGGCAGGGGGGCAGGAGGGTGACCGAGGGCACTATCAAAGAGGAGGGTCTTGAGACGGGTCTTGAAGGAGGCAAGGGAGGGGTGAGTAATAAGTTATAATAATAAACAGAAATAAGCCTAACTAAAAGAACAATAGTTATGGATTTAATGGGTACCCTAATGCATTTCAGGGTACCCTCTCTGGAAATCCTTTGCCTGCAAGCCTGCCTCAGAGAATCAAGATCAGCATGTGGACAGAGTACTGGAAGCTGACCTCACCCATGTCGGGGTATCTGATGGATTCACTATTAACAAATCCTTTTGCGAACCAAGTACATTAAAACACAGTATAAGGTTTTCAGTATTATTAACTTTGGAAATTATTCAAACATAGGCCATTCCCACAGGCTAAGGTTGTGTATGACAGCATTGGTGCCATTAAATATAGCTTACAAGTAGATCCTTTTCCCGTGCTTCAGTGGATAAACTCTCCCACTCAAACATATTACTTTAGTTGGATATTTGCATTGCAGAATCACTTCCAGAAACAGCTTTGTGATATTGCCTGAGGTTCCTGGCGCTGTGGAAACTGCTTGTTTATACTGCAGGGCAAATTCCACAGTAGCCAAAACAGAAAAATATAAAAATATTACATTAAAAAAATCAGCATGTTTTCTGTGGCTCCAATCCCAGGCTATGATGCTAGAATAGAGAAAATAAGATCATATATGTGCTTAGCGGGATTTTACACTAGCCCAAACAACGCAAGAAGCTCCGGCAATTTACAAATTATTGCTTGAATGATGTACTTTGAATAGCTGCCATTCAGACATAGTGATGCTGATACCCTAATTTGGAAGATACTACACTGTCCTAAGCAGACCCAGTTTGAAGAGACATGTTTAGATTTGAACTTATATGAAGAGATCAGGTAACATGGCCATGCAGTGAATATATGCTCCAATGCATACCAGAACATGGTAGGACATAGGGGTATCTCATATTTCAATCAATAAAGGCATTGCCCAGTGAGGAACTATGCTAGCAGACCAAGAAACATCTAGGAAATTGGAAGCTGCATAATTGTTTAACTAAGCCAAGGGAAGAAACTTGGCATAAGTGGACCTAAAATGAAATAAATGAATTAAATGTGGGGCAACAAATAGGAAGGGCATTGGGACATGAGGACTGTGCCACGCTGAGCCATGTGGAATATGGGATGTCTCTTGAGTTGGATGCAGACCATGTGTTGCTTTGGTACTGGACAGGCAAGAACAGGTGACTGCACAATACAAATAGAAATAGGTTGTGAAGAAGAGGTGACTGCAGGGAAACATCGAGCCAAGCTGAGAAAATAAATATTTGTGAATGCCTTTCAGAGACAGGCTGGGAAGAACAAGCACTCAGTAAATGTTTGGAACCAGACCAGGCTGGGAAGAAGAGGCGTGTTTAAAGAAACCCTTTGAAATTGAGCTTTTAACAGACCTCGCTGTGAGCGTACAACTTGGGAAGTTGAGAAGAGCTGGCTCTGGAGGATGATCAAAGTAATACCAGGCAGAAGAAATAGCTGCAGGGAACAATCAGGGGCATATTGGTGAGAAGGGTCAACTATAGAGACTGAATGGAGCCTGTGCAGATCCAAGCAGGAATAAGTAATTGTTCTAAGTGAGACTCTCAGCACATAATCTCACAGTATCCTCAGCACCTTTGCCTCTTGCTGTACAGGTAGATATTAACACAGCCACCAAATTCACCGAATTAATACTTTGAGCTGAATAAACTAATTGGAATGGTAGAGAGGGGTTTTGAATGAGTGAAAGAGAGAGAAACAATCCCCTATTCCACATCAACTTTATTTAGAGATAAAGAGCAAGTGAGGGAAAGAGGATAGTGTGAAGGAAGGTAAAAGTGAGGGCAGACAGCACAATCTACAAATAGCAGAAGTAATCAGATAAGATTTTGGCTCCATGATGGCTTAGTTGGTAAAGTGCGAAACTGAGCCATTTAGGTCATGAAGACCCCAGAATTGAACCCTGAATAGAGAAATTATACAATAAAATTTACATTTATATAGCGATTTCACGTAATGTACACCATTAGCTGGGCACCTGAGCCCAGGCTGTGAGTTGAAGATGGCGAGGAAGGGAATAACAACCAAAAGTAAGGACAAAGGTAAATCGAGATAATTTAGAGTAGCAGTACGGAATCTCATGATGGCCTCAGCTCTTTAGATTATGCTGGGCTAAAGATGGGGGAATATCATCTAGGATTCTTGCTGTTGATTACTATCCAATGACCTCTTCTGGAAACATGACTCCAGGAGAAAAGAGGGAAACAAAAAAAAGAGGACTTTGCAAAAAAGATTATCATCAACTACACTACATTGTGGGTGGAGTATACACAGTCAACATGCAGCACCCACAAAGCAGAGCACCTCTATGCACATTGTCATGGTAATGTAGGCAAAGCTTTACATTCCATCTGGTGGTGCTGCGCTTGATCAGTGGGAGTTACTGATCTTATCACGAGGTGTAAACTAGACGTGTCATCAATTTCCCAATCCCTGGATTCCCTTGATTAAACAAGCACATATTTGTACTGAGTTAGCTGATCTCAGCCAGAGCAGCAGATGGAGTGGTAAACTTAGCCTATGAGCCCAGGTTAGGCTGGAGAAATTCAACAAGGGATTTCCACTCAAATTGACCAGGGACCCGTTGAAATTACATTTTTGTGGATATTAATAACACGAGAATCCTTTTGATTTGATACAGTGTCTTATCACATTGTTGAAACGCCTCGAAAAAACTTCACAGGGTTTACTGTGAAGTGTAATGACTGTATTTGTAGGAGAACTCGGCAGTCAGTTTGTACATAGCAATTTCCCACAAAGAGACAAAAGTGAATGATTAATTTTGTTAGACAGATTATTGGTCAGAACCCCAGAAGAAATGTTCTACTCTATTCAAAAAGGGCAATGAGATCTTTAACATCCACCGAAACAGGCAGACAGGACCTCAGTTTTAAGGACTCATTTGTCAATGTAACTCTTCCCCAGTACTGCACCGGAGTGTCGGCTAGACTTTATAGCTCATCAGACAATGAACAAAATCACAACCTGGGGCTTTTGGTGGTCAGGCTGAACCAGCCTACTGGCCCTCACTGTAAAGGCTCATACATGAAAAAGAGTCACTTGGGTGCCTGTTGCCTATTGGACCACACCCCAGCAGAAGAAAGAGGCAAACCTATTCAGAAGAGGGGGAGTGAAATTGTTAAAAATTGAAAAAGAAACATTCACACTAAAAAGCATTCATACATCAATAAAATACATGATGAAATAGTTTTTGCATTGATAAATGTTGATTTTAGGTAACAAAGTGCCAGCTCCAAAGGTCCTTCTGCTGCTAAGGATCATTATCATGGATGGATCCTAAAGGATTATCATCATGTCGCTTTTCAGGAATGACTTACTGATTCAAATTTTCATTGGGGGGTATGAAATATGATAGTTGTAAACTGGACGTTTGAGTTAAACTGGCTTATGAACCTTTGGCATTTAAATTCACAACAAGATTTGTGAATGACGAAAAATAAATCACAAATCCCAAGCTGGCAAAATGAGAAAATGGTGGATTCACAATTCATGTTTTGCAAATCTTGCAAATGGAAGTCACAATTAATGACTTAAATGTGTTTTGCAAATATTGCAATTTAGAACCAAATGCCCTGGGCTCCTGTCTGCGTTCACATATCAGACAACTACAAAATAACAGCAAATAAAGTTTGAAAGAACATTATAACAGAAAGTTTAAGTCTCTAATAATGAATTGCCACAATGTACATCTGAAATGGCATCAGATGGTAATGCGGGGAATAGATCTTAGTAAGATCTAGTAAGGCTCACATTCCCCAAACCTGTCCTCACCATTTACTATCAAATTACAATTATAATTCACAAATCAGATCAAATGTTGTTAGCTGTGATAATAGTAGAACGTTTGCGATTGAAACTTGAGGCAGAAGATGCAGAAGTTAGCAAAGAGTCCTGGGCTGGAGGGGTGGCACACAATGGGGTGCTGCTCCATAGTGCTGTGCTAGGAAACGAGAGGATGCAGGCTGAGAGCCACAATGTTCAGCATGCTAAATTATGGACCTCAAGTATAGGGAGTGGTGAACAGAGGCCAGACACTTCCCTATAGCAGGCACAGAAACATATAACAAAAAACATCCTGCTCCATCCTCCTTTACTTCTCAGAAACTCATTGTCACTTATTTGTCCTAACACACAATGACAGTAACATAGCGTGTTGGATAATTACCCATTAGTGATCCCACATTAATGCGGGTCATTGACTTAACATCAGAACCCCCACCTCCCTCTCCCAGTCAGAATGGGCGTGACAAAAATGCCATCTCAGTCAGAGGTCTTTCATTCCACCCTGACTGCAGATGAAGACACATGTCTATTTCTCACCCATTATGTTGGCTCTTTAAAGACTGAAGGGAACAGATTCCAATGAGATGTGGATTCTCTGCAGACTCCCAACATTCCACATAAATCACCTCAAATTTATAATCTGTGATCTACATACACAGCCATCACATTCATGATGGTATTTGTTCAGCAAATGTTGTCCACATTAACTCCTCTATCAGAACAATTGATCCAACAGCAAGCAGTCACAATATCTTCAGCACTGAAGAGTTTTTTTTAAACATCTCCAACAATGTAGCTCGTTTGATTTACACTGCTTCTTGATAGCAGGGATTTTCTTGCTAATATTATATATCTACCAGGTCAACTACTTATAAGAGTAAATGTCTGAAGGATTTTATCACAAGGATTTTCTTTACTAACTGCCAGTATGAAGTTACAGAAAGTCACACAGATCCTATCACATCGACCTCAGCCTCAGAGTCTGTCCCCTGGAAGCTGTGTAAAGTACCACTGATGATAAACGTTTTACATCCTATGTGTAAGACCACCGAGTGTTACTCACCGCTGCCTCCAAGCTCTGTGTCTGGATCACCAGCAGAATCGCTGCAAGCAGCCACAGGCACTTTAAACTAAGCATTGGATAATCTTCACAACAAGCAAAATCTACATTTAAAGCAATGTGTCCCGCAAGGACACTGCAAAATAACGTGTGCCCGGTGCTCGCTTTATCTCCTGCAGCAATTCCTGTTTTACTTTGGTAAAAATTAAGCTGGGAGTGGTGGAAATCTTTTCTCTGTCTCTGAGCTCAGTTTGCTACAACTGGGAGGTTGCACTCCTTTCCCAGTCGATCCTCAGTTTCTTCCATGCTCCTCCCACTATCCCAGTATTCCAGCCCTAAAAAGCATAAAACTAGCAAAGGGCGGGTGGGGTGTGTGGAGAGCAAGTCTCTTTAACCCTTTAGTACTGACCTGATTCAGCTATTTCCCATGTTTCTCTCCCTATTTACACAATGTCTGTTGAAATCCTTTACTCTGACTTCACAAACTGTATGCTGTTGTCAATTCACACCACCATGTGAATTTTAATTTTGTTTCAGAAATACAGATGCAGTTACCAAAGGATTAAGTAGATGTTGAACCTTGCAATAAACAGAGCAAGTCAATTCGCCATGCTGAGAACAAGGACATTCAACAGGTAGGTTAATTTTTAACTACATTAAACATGAATGTGAAGAATTGTGGTGGGTGTTGTGTGGATGGAGAGATAAACAGGGAAAATGCTGAAAAGGTTCAGCATCCAAGGGGTTAACACAATAATTTCCCTCATTGCAGAGGGGATTTAGGGCTGGAAAACTGGATGGTGGGAGGAGCTGAAGATCGACTGGGAAAGGAGTGCAACCTCCCAGTTGTAGCAAACTGAGCTCAGAGACAGAGAAAAGATCTCCATTCCTAACATCAATTTACCAAAGTAAAACAGGAATTGCTGCAGGAGATAAAGCGAGCACAGGGCACACGCTATTTTATCGTGTTTTTACGGGACACATTACCTTCAATGTAGATTTTTACCTAGTTGTGACGTTCATCCAATGCTTAGTTTAAAGTGCCTGTGGCTGCTTGCAGCTTTTTGCTGGTGATCCAGACACAGAGCTTGGAGGCAGCGGTGAGTAACACTCGGTGGTCTTATACTTAGGATGTAAAACGTTAATCATCAGTGGTACTTTATACAGCTTCCAGGGGACAGACTCTGAGGCTGAGGTCGATGTGATAGGATCTGTGTGACTTTCTGTAACTTCATATTGGCAGTTAGTCAGTGAAGAAAATCCTTGTGATAAAATCCTTTGGATATTTACTCTTAATATTTGACCTGACAGGTATATAATGTAAGAAAATCACTTGCGATCAACACGCAATCGAAAAATGTGGAAGCAAACTCAGTGCTGAAGATACTGTGACTATTGTTAGATCAATTGTTCTGATAGAGGAGTTAATGTGGACAACATTTGCTGAACAAATACCATCATGAATGTGATGGCTGTGTATGTAGATCACAGATTATAAATTTGAGGTGATTTATGTGGAATGTTGGGAGTCTGCAGAGAATCCACATTTCATTGGAATCTGTTCCCTTCAGTCTTTAAAGAGCCAACATAATGGGTGAGAAATAGACATGTGTCTTCATCTGCAGTCAGGGTGGAATGAAAGACCTCTGACTGAGATGGCATTTTTGTCACGCCCATTCTGACTGGGAGAGGGAGGTGGGGGTTTCTAATGTCAAGTCAATGACCCACATTAGTGTGGGATCACTAATCGGTAATTAAAGACCTACCAGTCCACTGTTACTCTAATCTTGTGCTAAATACAATAAATACATTGCAATGAATGGTTCACAGTTGCATTTGTGTTCAGCACTCCAGGTTAGTTGTTTAAAACTTGTTTATGCCGTTTCTAAATCTAGTCCCTGAAATTCGGATTGACAAACTCCCCACTATGTTTACAGCAAAATATATCTGACCTATAGTTTTAATTTCAAGTTCATCCTGCATTGACATTACAGTAAGTTTGGAGAGCATAAGGTTTCTCCCAGTGTCTTATCAATTCTGCTTATACAGCCAGTAGCCTACGCTATGATGCCATTGGATCCTTTCAGATATAGATTGCAATAATTCAGTAATAGAAATTCTAACTATCATTTGCAATGTTTATTGTGACAACAGATCTAAGTTTATTCTGTGGGACATGTGAGGGTGAACATTGAACGGAGAGAAAGCAGAGAAAACACTATAGTTGTTTGAATAGTTGTACTAGTGATAAATTCTTGTGTCAGGTACACTGCCTTCAGTGCTTGGAGCAACCTCAGAGCAGTTATAGGATCGAGTTGCCTGGAAATCGTCAATTGCTTTTTTTTTTGCCACCATTGTATGAATGTACAATGTATGAATGTATAGTGTGAGTTTATTTAGGGGAGTGATTATCGTAAGATATTCTATTACATTTTGAGATCAGCCACGTGAAACACAATCGCCGTTTCCAGATGTGAACATTTTCACAGTCCCTAAAAAATTTCAAGTTTGCCAGCAGTGATAAAAGATCACACTGTTCATCACTCGACATCAAGCAGAGATTGCAAGATACAAAGTAACGTTGCCAATATATTGTTGGCATCAATATAGTTCTGGTTCTATTATTTGAAACAGTGTTGACTCTCTATTCACACCAGTTGTATGAGGAGTCGATTTAGTGGTTCTATGAGATCCATGTTTTAAATACATTTATGTGCATACATACATTGTGCAACTATGTTGTACCAATGTGTGATTGTCCCTATTTTAAACCAAAAAAATGGACATACATAGGTGCCAGGAATGCACCAAATTTTGAGTCCTGTGGCTCAGTGGTTAGAGCACTTGCTTTGCAAGCGAGAGACCTGAGTTCAATTCCAGGCAGGGCGAAACCTTGGGCAAGTTTCCTTACTCCACACGCCTGATAATAATCCCTCCAAAAACCAAAAACAATAATAAATTGGTCATTTTTCAATCTACGACTGTTTGTGGGACATTGCTGTGCGCAATTGGCTGCCGCGTTTGCCCACAAATATACAGTCAATTCACTTTACAGTGTGTTCTGTGAAGCGCTTTGGGACGTCCTACTGACGTGAAAAGCGCTATATCAAATGCAAGGATTATTATATTATTATAATTTCATTGAGAATATGAAGTCACATATTTTCATTGAGAAACCAGGTGAAGAGCCAAGACGCACAGCACTCTTTCCTTAGAAAGTTCAGGAGAGAATATCAGAAGTAGTCGCCAAGTGGTTAGGTGAGGCCAAACTTACGTTGTCTCACCCACAGCACCGAGGTACATTTGGTCAATGGCACTGTAACAATTCTCTCTCTGTGACCAACTGAACATCGATGAAAATGAAGCCATCCCACTTGGCGCCTTCTCCCTAGTTGAACCCTCCACAAGCTTCAGATCGCCCAGAACACTGAGGCCACATTCCTCCCATACCAGACTCAAACATGCCCATCAACCAACCCCTCGCCGTTCACCCACCTCACCCGTCACCCACCCCACCCTCGCCCGTCACCCACCACCCGTCACCCACCCCACCCTCGCCCGTCACCCACCCCACCCTCATCCATCACCCACCTCACCCTCGCCCGTCACCCACCACCCGTCACCCACCCCACCCTCGCCCGCCACCCACCCCACTCTCGCCCGTCACCCACCCGACCCTCGCCCATCACCCACCCGACCATCACCCATCACCCAAAACTCCTCGCCTGTCACCCAAAACCCCTTGCCCGTCACCCACCCCTCGCCCGTCACCCACCCCTCGCCCGTCACCCACCCCTCGCCCGTCACCCACCCCTCGCCCGTCCTACCCACCCCTCGCCTGTCACCCACCCCTCGCCCGTCACCCACCCCTCACCCGTCGCCCACCCCTCGCCCCTCACCCACCCCTCACCCCCCTCACCCATCACCCCTCCTCTCCCATCACCCACCCCACACCTTGCCCATCAGCCCCTTCGCCCATCACCTACCCCTCGTCCATCACCCAGCACACCCTTTACCCACCCCACCCCTCGCCCGTCACCCCCTCATACGTCATCACTCTTCGCCCGTCACCCACCCCACCCCTCGCCCATCAACCCCCTCGCCCATCACCCCTTTTGCCCATCACCCCCCTAGCCCGTCATCCCCAGTTCCCCTCGCCCATCACCCACCAACCCCCCTCGCCCATCACCCCATACCCTCGCCCATCACCCTGCCTCACCCATAAGCTCACAATTATCTGGACTCTCCAACAACAACTAAAAGATTGCATTTATATAGCACCTTTCATGTCGGGAGGTCATCCCAAGGCGCTGGTCAGTGTACAGCATTTCAGACCTAAATTCATACTCAACAAGCTCCACTGGCTCCCTGTTCAATAACAACAAGTTACATTTATATAATATCTTTCATGTTGGGAGAATGTCTCAAAGTGCTTTACAAACCTAAATTGGGAGGAAGCCAGAGATGTGTGATAGATAGATTTGGGTGGGGTTGGGGGAGAGTTGGCTGATAGTATGAAGATCATCAGGTGGGAAGAAAGCTAGATCATTAGACAGGGAAGAGTTGAGGCAGAGGTATTTTGGGAGATAGTTCAAGAGGGCAGGGGCAAAGTGGCTGACCCTCCTGATGATGGGGCGTGGGGGGTGGGGTGGTGTAAAATGGCCCAGAGTTTGTGGAGCAAAGATCCAGACCCTTACCTCACCCCACCAATATGATCTCGTGCATTCCTAGTCCACTGCCATTAATTCTATCTCAGGCCTGCTTCACATTATTTGATCCACCATCAGTGGGTGAACATTCATGCACATTGCCCTGCTCTTTGAAACTTTCTTTCTAAATCCCTCCAATTCACATTTTCTGTCTCTGCTCTCTGAAAACCTTTCTCTTTGACTGAGCCTTTGGCCACCTTTCTCCTATTCCCGACCTTCCTCCTCCTCTCATTCCATGAAGCACTTTGAGACATTCTCCCACATTAAAAGTGCTATATAAGTGCAAGTTTTGTTTTTTTATAGAGCTATAGACAGAGGGATGAAAGCAAAGCAGGGGCATGAAGGAATTGCATAGTATTGTTATCCAGGTAAGGAATGAATTAGTGAGGATGTAAGGAGGTGGAAGTGCATAATAATAATTAATAATAATGAGGGCTTAGACCGGGGAGAGAACAAAATTACCTATCGGATTACAAAGCTTTACAACTTGTTAACGTATGGGAAGTTCTAAAAGAATCTCACCTGAGATGGCAATACTATTTAAGCTTTGGATACATTTGCACTTCTTGGGAAATTAAATTAAGAATTACTGAGTGGAAAAGAAATATTTAGCACATAAAAGAAAAATGAGCCGCCTGTAGCTGGCTTTAGCAATGGAAGAAATGTGAGTAAGCTCAAAGAAGACCATAAGGCTAACCATACTGCTAGATGAAGAAAGTGAGTAAGGTACAAGTCGTTGGCTGCTGTGTTTGCAAGAACAGTAAATAACCTGACCAATTATTGTTCCCATTGAAGAAGATCAAGCCTGAGAGAGCAACTTAGGAGTACGTTTAATAAGTACATATAGAGGAAAGGTATTAGAGGATACAGGGAATTGGGATGAAGATGAGCAAATGATGCTAAATACAGGGAACTCTATTTAGTTATGCAGGATTAGATAGGTTACCAGTGGTGCAATAACAACAGCCTGTGTTTAGCTTTTTGGAAAGTGGAGTTCATGTTACAAGAAACGTTTTCTGGCAAAAGGTGCCAATACTGTAGTGGTTTTGCAATTGAAGCACTTTTTCAACACCGAAATATAGGTAAAACTTGTTGTAATTCACAGGAGTGAAACGGAAAACGACAATATTGTTCAAAAGACAAAAGTATAGCAGAGGCACTTAAACTGTTTGTTATAGCAATGCAGGGAAACTCTTCAGCAAAATTAGAGCTACAAGAGAAGTCAGCTTTCATTTTAGGATGGATTCTGTGTGTGTCCGACACCCAGCTGTTTTTTTTTAGCATGTCCAGTGTCCTAGCTTCAACCGCTAATAGTAAGTTACAGTGTAAATATATACTTTCTGAGATGTGAACTGTCTTATAGTTATAGCCTTAAGATTACTGTCTTTAAGATTTACGATTGGGTTACAACATTGGAAAATTCTTTATTCCGTTTAATTTAGTTTAACAGCTAAAACTGTATAGTTTGTCGCTGAAAGCTTTGGCAAGCTTCCCACTGCTTATGCAAATAAGACCACAATACCCATTGTGGCTTTGGCATGCAGGGTTAATAGGAGCTGCATAGGAAGAATCTTTGCTTCCAGTAACTGAAAGAGACTTGGAGTGTCACAAAGTGTTGCCAATGAACTAGAGTGGCTTCATTAGCAGTGCCCTGGAGTACTGCAGATCAGCCTGGCTCGTGAACAAGACCACAGAGATTGCCAGAGGATTGACCTGATTCTGATATTCCGTTGCCAAACACGTCACCTCAGAGTCAGCTCAGCTTAAAGTAAAACACGCTTACCACCTCCATCTCCTCCCCCTACCCCCAAAAAGAAGGACAGAAGAAACTGTTCGATGCTGTCATAGGATATTGTGCAAATGAAATAAAGTGAGCCTTCTTCATCCTTTCCTGTTTGTGACCTTGTGGGACTAATACAAGGGTCGGTGCCAAATATAGTAAAGTATAAATGATGAACTTTCAGAAAATAAGCTATTGTGTGATGGTGAGGAAATATAGAAAATCAATTGGGAAAGCTTCAGTGGTGGCGAAAAGAATGGGAAAAAATCATTCAAAGATAAAGGCTGGAAGTTAAAACATAAGAGAGTGATTATTCTTTTTTTTGCACAATTTCTGAACACTGTTTAGTTACGCAGGTTTAGATATGTTACCTGTGGTGCAATAACAGCAGCCTGTGTTTAGCTTTCTGATGACAGATGTTTCATCATCATTTAGATTCTACAAGACTGAGATATTTGTTGTAGAAATTCTCATCTTTGTGCCATCAGTCGTGTTTTGTACTTTGGGTGGGGGTTGGGGGAATCCTTTGATATTTGTATACAATTGACTACTTGATCCAAGCTTGATCCCTGTTCTTCCATGTGTCTATTTTCATTTATGTTACTCTGTTCTCTATTTCACAAGGTTTATAGTAAGTAACCTGTGTTTTATTAAAAGATTTTAATTAAAAGTTTTTTTTAAAAATCCTTTGATGTGGAAAGACACAGGAACTTCTTTGAACTTAGATGACTTTTGTTGAAATCACACAAGATGAAAAGAACATTCTGTGACAAAACCGTGAAACCTTATGAAAGTTCTAACACTGCACTTGGGTTCTAACAGCTTGATGTGACGGGAAGAGAATGTTTGCCTGAAAAAGGATACTCTGTTTCAGTAGTTTTTATATACACAGCTGTAGATATTGTAGTAAGATGATATATTGCAGCACTTGATGGTTAATGAACACCTTTCAAAAGGGAAGGTTATGTTGTTCAGGTAGAACTTCTATTATTCTAAATATTAGGTTCACCAATACTGAGAATATGCAAGAACACTGAAATATCAGCACATCAGCAGAGATTAGTCTGCAGCAAACTAGCCAAATACACGGACTCTGTTTGATTTGGTGTTAATTAGATATTTCATAAAGTGATGAATTAAGGATACTATGATTGCCTAATTGTTTCAGTTTCCTACTTTTAATAGACGCTATCCTTAGAAACTTATAGGATGTGTTATCAAGATTCTTAGTGTTAATTGTCTTAGACACAACTTTCTCCTCATACATTTTTTTGCACATAAATATTTGGTTCAAATTAATTTGGGTGATTGTGCAACAGCTAGACAACAGGCTATAACTTTGAGGTTTGAATTATCCAATGCTCTCCTGGTCAACCTCTTGATTGATCCTTCATAAACTCAACTCATTCATATTCTGTTTTATCCCTCAATTACATCCATTTGCGCCAGGTTTCCATGAATCTAGTACCTCAGTGGATTGACTTCATGATTCTTGCCCTGACCTTCAAATCTCTTCACAAACCCTTCAAAACCCCTCCCAATATTTGAAAATTCCTCCAGGCCTGTTCTCTGGCAGGTGTCCTCCACTCTTCTAATTCTGGTCTCCTGCTTGTTCCTCCTTCCTGGCATCAGCTTTTGTCAGACTTAGTTTACAAATTTTGGGCTGTAATAGCTGAATGCTCAATCAACAATAATGTTGAGTAGGGGATAAAAGGTACACAGCAAGCTTGAGTTAGCCGAGCAGAAGACAGCCAGCAGAGGAGCGAACTTGAAGAAGATTGGAGAGATAGAGAGATGTTAAGCTGTAAAGGAATTTATAAGTGAGGGTGAGGACTTTGACTTTGAGCCAGTGGAGCCTGACAAAGACTGAGGTGATGTACATATGTAATTTGGTTTGGGTGATAATGCAAATGGATGCAATGGATGTACAAATTAGAGATGAGAGAGAATATGACTGCAGAATTTTGAATTTGCAAGATCTTACGGGTAGTAGAACTAGGTATATCAACGAGGAGTACTTTGGAGCTTTGGAATAGATTTAGCAAATTTAGGGATTTCTTTCAGGAATAATCTGTGGTGGACAGTGTTGTGGGCTTGGTAGGATACAATGCAAAATTACATTTGTATAGTGTCTTTCACATTGTGAGGACATCCCAAGGTGCTGGACAGTCAGGGATTTGGACGCACGCGGGGGGGATTTAGGATAAGGAAGGGTGCAAGGCAGGAAGGGTGGGATGGTGGCCGTAGGCTCGGTTGAAGCAGAGGGTCTTGAGATGTGCCTTGAAGGAGGATTACCTGCTTACAGAATTTGGGAAAACTGTGAAAGTTGCTAGGATTGAGCTGTTGGGTGTTAGTTCCTGTTTTTTGTGTCCTCTGGAAATTTCAGGAATTTAAGTTTGACATTCTATTCTGCAGTGGACACCACCAGTAGCTCTCTGCAAACTATTAGTACCTTGTTTCCATGTTGTAGTTCACCCTATCCTTAATTTCAGCAGCTGTTCACATGACTGTGGCTTTGACAACAATACTGCCCTGTAATTTACCATATCCACCTTATTCTAGACAGAGATCCTCCACTAATTTACTGTATTTTGTAAGTGCGGCTATACACTATACACTATATAAATACAGTAACAAACATACTTTGGTATAAATACAAGATAGTAATGTATTTTCTTTGCTTTGAAGTTAATGGGGCAGTTTTATTTACTTGTGGTTTCTTCTGAATTGATGGTAATGACAGTGAGTTGCGTGTCTCAAGAGCTTCTAACTAACATTAAATAATTCTAACTCAAAACAGGCAGCAGCATGATTAAGAACCAAGTGGAAAAAGGCTACAATGCTAAGTGTGCATGATGGTACTTACTGCCTGCTCTAAGTCCTGCTCTTTTACTGCAGTAAAATCAACACTTATGGTAGCAAACACAATAGTGGTAGGAAGTATTTATACTTAAAGTAATTTTGTGTTTTTCATTGGACTGATTTGAAATGATCTATTCTTACCTCTGTATTTTTATTTTCTGACAGATTTGGTGATTTGATGTAATATTTCATTCAGGAATAGAAGAGTGAGCGAGCAAACGAGAGAGAGAGAGAAAGAGTGCGTGGACATGGGCTGCCCATTCAAGACAGGAAGGGCCAACCAATCAAGAATTGTTTCAGTAGAAGATTTTCAGAGAGTAAATATGCGGTAAGTTGTTGCTTTCCCTTTCTTGCAGTGGTCTGGAAGTACTGTATCAAAGACAAATTTAAAGCAAACAGTAAAATACGGTAACTACAAGATAAGTAGCAAAGTTGTAAACCAAACCAAGAAGCTTGCCTGAAATTATAAGGAAATCACAATAGAAGTGATTTTATGATGTAAATAATGACAGAACTATTCCCTACAATGTTATTTAGATTCCCAAGAATACCATTCATGCATTGCAATTGTTTTGCCTGATCATGAATTTAAATGAACTCGTTACAAAATCTATCGAATTAATATCAGTTAATCTCACTGTACTGAATTGACATTTTGATGTGTACTGTTTGTAAATGTATATTCATAAACATAATTTTTTTCAACAGGTTTCTGCCACTATGGTCATTTGTGTTGGTTATGCTGTTGGCTGATGCAGTTCTAGCCGTAAGTAATGAGGAAAGACTGGTTTGCAGCACAACACTGCACTAGACACGGGCAAATATGATCCCATCTCTTGCTGTGTTTAAAATAGTTAGTGGAGCAATCAATTCATCTAATATAAAATATTCTGTATTTTATGGATGGTTGTAAATCAATATCAAAATGTGTCATTTCTCACTATTGGTTAACATAACAACTGCAGGGCAATATATTGGATATAAAATGAAAACTTATGGTGTTATCTTTGAGATGATGCTAAGTCTGAATGAGAGGTAAAACATGTTATATATGTTATTATGCACTGTTGCATTTCCAATTGGTGATTTGTTTGTAGTTTTATATAAGAAGCATCCTGTGTACCTCTGAAACACTGAGCATTCGTCTCTGCTCCTATTGCTACATAGTATATCAGCATAACGAGCTCTCAAACTAATCTACCCTGATAAGTTTTCATCCTTGGTCCAAGCCAATAGATTGTCTGTATATTGAAATAGCAACAAGAAGCCACTTTTTCTATGTACAGTATCAAAAGAAGGGCAAAGACTGAAATAACTACTGTTACATTGTAGGCTTTTACACTTGTAGACTTTACTTTAATTTGGGACCCTGTGCGGGCACTCAGTGACATGCGCAGATGCAAATCACATTATGATTTTGATACTAATCCTGTAGCATCTCTACAGTTATTATTTCCATACCAGCTACATCAGGACCTACTAGTGGAACTACTAGATTAATAATTAACACTGAATTGTGAGCCAATTTTTGCGATTGACCTATGCTCCCTTTTAGCATGATCATTAAAAGAGAAATCATGTAATTGTATTATGTAACAGTAATGCTGTCTTTGGTTAGTTCCAGTTGGAAACGCTAGACTGTATACCATGTCCGCTTTACAGTTTGCAACTTTTTATTATTTTTATTATCTAATTAACTTTTTAAAATTATTATTGTCATCTGTCCTTTGAATGAGATGTTAAACTGAGGCTTCATCTGCTTGTTCACGGGGCTCTTAAAAGGTCTCATGACATTAATCAAAGAAAAGGTAGTTCTTCCCAGTGTTTTGACCAATAATCCTTCACATAAAATTAGTCATTAATTTCATGGCTCTTTATAGGACATTGCTGTGTGAAAATTGGCTGCTACATTTGCCTACAAATACAGTCACTACACTTTATATTAAACCCTGTGAAACATTTTGAGATGGCCTGACAACATATATGAAATGCAAGGATGAATATTTTTTTGAATTTTTCGGATCGCTGAGAAGAAAGTGCTGCTTACATTTATTTTGATTATCTATAACTTGATTACAAAGCAGTTTCAGAAGCTTAAAATCATTATTTGTCAATAAGATGAAACTCCAGATAAAGTAAAACATGATGTCAGACTGACTACATTCCTTGAGGAAGCTTCCCTTATTTCAGAATAATCTAACAGAAGATTTGATGTAACTGAGAATGAATAATAGACAGTGGAACCAAATAAAACTGGATGCCATTCGATTTTTGTAATCTGTGCTTGTTGCCAATTAAAATACATATTAGACCAACATTGTTGAACTATAGTCACAAGCCACATATGGTTCATGAAGGATCTCCATACACGATTCCCACAAACTGTTTTCTGTGTGTTTCCATGAATATAAGTTGCACCTCATAATGTCTCTACTTATTTTGTATGCAAATGCGTCTCCGTTAAATACTAGCAATTTGCACGTGCAATTGTACAAGCATCAATGACTTGTTTACAAAGTTACATTTGAAAATTGACGCAATATTGCTGAATCGCTTCAAGTTTGAATTAGGTGTGGAATATTTGAAAACGCCCAGAAAACAGAACATTTCTGATAATGGATTAGTTACTGCTTTGCTAAACTATCCAGACCATGTGATAAACAACAACAGTTGTATATTTATATAGCCTGTTTCACTTTAGGAGGATGTCTTAAAGCCTTCATGGAATTGGCTGCTAGATTGACCTGGGGTTGGGGGGAGCTGAGGAAAGAGGGAAATTATGAAAACCCACTCAAGGCCAGACCTGCAAAGCTTTTATGACTTGGGACAATAAGGTCCGGTCAGGGAAACAAATATCTAATATCTTACTTAAAGTTTAAAGTGTTTTTCCACATAAAATATATACCGCTAAGCACTATATAAAATGTAATCAACAACAACAAGATTCCATTTATAGAGCGCCTTTCACGTCGGGAGGACGTCCCAAGGCGCTGTACAGTTGGGTCAGGACCCGAGCAGGGGGGAAATGGTCAGGGTGAGGGGAGGGAAGGGCGGGAGCGAGGAGGGGGTAGAGAGTCGAGAGGGGAGCTGAAGGCACGGTCAAAAAGAATAACAATCGATGAGGGATTAAGTGAATGTTGATCCAGAAAATAAAAGTCAGTTAACCTGCGTCATCCTGAAGTATCAATTGGATAGTCCAATTTATTTAAATTTAGGTTAGGATGGCCATATAGACCAGGAGAAAGTCTCCACGTTTCTTTCAAACAGCAAAGGCAATAGGCTACAAAACAAACCTGCGTTCTTTAGAAGAATAACAGACTTTTCACCAAATTGAATCTGGCATAAAATCTACCGCTACACTGAAGAAAACCTACCATTGCACAATCCTTAGCATCCTTCATGTTGCAAAACCAGGACACAGTGTCCATCAGCAAAGAGAAAAATTGAAGGTAGTCTGGCACTGCCAAAGACTGACAAGACTACATGGAGTGTTGTTCCAGCTTTCTGACCCTCCTTTTCTTCTCTTGTTTTATTCTTCCCTTTATATTATTGTTACAAACTCATTTTTGGGTTTGTTTCATATTTCTGGAATGCATTGCCTGAAAGGGTGGTTGAGGCCGATTTGATAACTACTTTTAGAAACGCGGTGGATGGGTATTTGAGGAGCGCGGATTTGCAGGGTTATGGGGAAAGGGCTGTGGAGTGGGATTGACATTAATCGCTCTATTCAAAGATCCGGCACAAACTCGATGGGCCGAATGGCCTCTTTTTGTGCTGTACAATTCTATGATTCTATGATTCTATGATCCTCTCAGTGGGCCCCAGTCACTCTGTGCTGCAGCTGCTAAAGATTCCTGGGTGGGATCTAGCACCTATACTGATAAACTGCTGATGGGTTTTCTTGGATCTTTGATAATCTTCTTACCCTTCCTTTTGTTTGACATCTTTTTCATCTTGGTTGTTTTGAATTAGTGATTGTGTCAGCACTTTTCACTCCAGATGTAGAAAGATATAGACCAAGTATATAAAACTACCCATGTCTCCAAATGCAATACCAATTGATTTTGGATTTGGTTAAAGAAAAAAGAGAGCATACATTTTAACGTACCTATGTCAAAACAAGCAATTATATTTAAGTCTGGTGATATTTTGTAGAAAATGCAGCAGCCATTTACACCAGAAAGAATCCATAAACATCTACTACATTTGGCTGGTGGATCATACAACTTCAGCTTCCACAAGATGTAGTTTTCTATTTGATTCACTTCAAAAATCCTCTGTTGTGGAGATTTACTATTCTAAACGCAATTGGAATTTGTCTGCAATTTAAACCACGAATGACCGTTTGATAACCTTGTAGAATCTTATTATTAGTAGCTTTAAAATGGCTTTATATAGCTGTGTTCAGTTTTGTCTAGGAACCCAGAAGCACCCTGCCCACTTATTTCCCCTGCTGTATAGGATAGGCTAAACCAGGGACACTTAGTTACATTATGAGGGCATTTGTCTACGAGTTGAAAGAAGTTATTCTGACATTGTATAGATCACCGATGAGGTACATTTGGAATCCTGGAGTGAAAAGTGAAACTTGTGATGTATTAATTAACACTGGCTTGATACTACAACTCCCCCTGCCCCGCCTCGCTCAGGCTCTGTCGCAGTACTTGGACCTGAAGCCAGACTGGACGCATTGGCCTGCACGATGGAGGGTGGAATGTGGAATGAGAAGTGTGGAATGTGGAATGCCCTGAAAGGAATTCTTAAGAGGAGTCGGGAAAGGTTATCAGCTCAGCCACCGACCGACACCAGGTCTACTCGCGCATAGTACTAACACTGGCTGATAATGTGCAGGTGCTGCTCCAAAGATTGGCTTCTGGAGCATTTCCCATCAACACATTAAGAGAGAACCAATATCGCCCGAACCCGCTCCGCCCGCACCAGCCCGCAGTGGCAACTTCGCCACCCGCGCCCAACCTCACCGCACCCATCTTCACGTACCCGCCATCGCCGTCCGCGCCCACCCTCGCCGCCCACGCCCACCCTCACCGCACGCATCCACCCTCGCCGCACGCGCCCGCCATCACCCCACGCACCCACCCTCGCCGCAAGCTCCCTCCCCTCACTCCACACCCACCCACAACCCCCAAGGAGAGGCTGGGTGGTAAAATACAGAGAAGAAAATATCAATGTTTCAAAATATTAATAATAATCCTTGTTTTGATATTGTTTATAATACAGTTTTGAAATGGCTCAAAACACATGACAGGAATTCCCATTGGAATTTTACTGCCGGAATTCTTAACGTCTAAGAGCACTCACTGTTTGGGACTCCTTCACCTTGTGTCTTCGCCCACAAATATACAGTCAATTCACTTTACAGCATATTTTGTGAAGCGCTTTGAGACGTCTAGAAGATGTGAAAAGCGCTATATCAAATGCAAGGATTATTATTATTATTGCTGAGGATTCCCCTGTGGCTTGGTATCAGACATAATAGAGACATATCTGTATCGTGATGAGATATAACACTTCTGTATTAATTATTATAAATAAATAAATCAATTAATGAAAAATTAATTATTATAAATAAATGCAGAGACTATATAATAAAGTAACTTTGCTCAGAATCTTATCTGTACATAAGATACACAGTATTGCTCATGATAATTAGTTGCTTGTGTCAGGAAATTGCTTACACTGGATTTGTATATTTGGATTTCACTGCAATGTTGAAGCCAAGAGTACTGGTGAGGAACGAAAGTGCTG